ATTAATTGTCCGTTGGTTTCGAAGTCATATTTGGGCCTTTGGGGGAGGGTCTTCGGAAGGCTCGGCGGGCACTGGAAAACCCTCTTGGGGCCATATTGAGGCATCTTGGATGTGCATCGGCGGCTATCTTGAGTCATCTTGAGGTATATTGACCCATCTAGGAGACCATCTTGGACTCGCGGAGGCTCTCGCGAGCCAATCTTGAACCAAACAACACCCTCTGACACATCGCCCTCCCCCCCTCCAGACCCAGGGGAGTGGGTAGGGGGAGGGGTCAAGTTAACCCCCTCCCCGCCCGCAAGCCGTCTCGCTCACTCCCACCCGCCCTCCCAACACATACGTAGCACCCGAGCCTTGCCCGAGCCGCAGCATTTTCAGCAGTCGTCTTTGGATGGGCAGCTACTGGGGGCGAATCCGCCGCCGCCGCCGCCGCCTCCGCCGCCGCCGCCGCCCGCCGCCGCCGCCGCCGCCGCGCCGCCGCCGCCCGCCGCGCTGTCCGTCGCCGCCGCGCCCCGCCGCCGCCGTCCGCAACTGCTGCCGCCGCGACGCCCGCAGCCACCGCTGCCGCCGCCGCCGTCGCCCCCCGCTGCCGAATCGCCGCCGCCGAAGCCGCTGCCGCCGCAGCCGTTGCCGCCAACGCTGCCGCCAACGCCGCCGCCGCCGCCCCCGCTCCCGCCGCCGCCACCGCCACCGCCGCCGCCACCGCCGCAGCCGCCGCAGCCGCTGCCCCCGCCGCAGCCGCCGCCGCCGCCGCCGCCGCCGCCGCCGCCAAGTGTACTCTATACTGTTTTTGAAAAGGATGGCTGGGGGGAGGCCGCATCGGGTTCGTTGCGCATGCTCCGAATTTGGAGGCAGAGTGTGTGTTTGTATTTCCCAGCCCTCCTTGGTTGGGTATTCGTCTTGAACAGAGCAGTGTGGTCGCGTCCTTCCTCCTCCCGCCTCCCGCCTCTTTCCTGCCTCTTTCTGTCTTGCCTGCGGGGGGGTGCGATCTGTGGAACTGTCGCCACTTTCGAGGCCTGCTGGGGGGTCCTGCGTAGAGGATAATCGCGGCGGATTCAAATTAGACCTCGCCATCCCTGGGGGGCTGCGATCTGTGAAACTGTCGCCACTGTCGAGGCCTGCTGGGGGGTCCTGCATAGAGGGTAATCGCGGCGGATTCAAATTAGACCTCGCCATCCCTGGGGGGCTGCGATCTGTGAAACTGTCGCCACTTTCGAGGCCTGCTGGGGGGTGTGACCTCGCCATCCCTGGGGGGCTGCGATCTGTGAAACTGTCGCCACTTTCGAGGCCTGCTGGGGGGTCCTGCATAGAGGGTAATCGCGGCGGATTCAAATTAGACCTCGCCATCCCTGGGGGGCTGCGATCTGTGAAACTGTCGCCACTTTCGAGGCCTGCTGGGGGGTCCTGCATAGAGGGTAATCGCGGCGGATTCAAATTAGACCTCGCCATCCCTGGGGGGCTGCGATCTGTGAAACTGTCGCCACTTTCGAGGCCTGCTGGGGGGCCCAGCACAGTGAATCGCGGCGGATTCAAATTAGACCTCGCCATCCCTGGGGGGCTGCGATCTGCGAAACTGTCGCCATTTTCGAGGCCTGCTGGGGGGCCCAGCACAGTGAGGGCCACGCGCGGATTCAAATTAGACCTCGCCATCCCTGGGGGGCTGCGATCTGCGAAACTGTCGCCATTTTCGAGGCCTGCTGGGGGGCCCAGCACAGTGAGGGCCACGCGCGGATTCAAATTAGACCTCGCCATCCCTGGGGGGCTGCGATCTGCGAAACTGTCGCCATTTTCGAGGCCTGCTGGGGGGCCCAGCACAGTGAGGGCCACGCGCGGATTCAAATTAGACCTCGCCATCCCTGGGGGGCTGCGATCTGCGAAACTGTCGCCATTTTCGAGGCCTGCTGGGGGGCCCAGCACAGTGAGGGCCACGCGCGGATTCAAATTAGACCTCGCCATCCCTGGGGGGCTGCGATCTGCGAAACTGCCGCCATTTTCGAGGCCTGCTGGGGGGCCCAGCACAGTGAGGGCCACGGGCAGATTCAAATGAGACCTCGCCATCCCTGCGGGGCTGCGATCTGTGAACCTGTCGCCACTTTCGAGGCCTGCTGTGATCCCCGTTTTCGAAGTGGCTAGGAGTGCTCAGGAATTGTAAATCATCAGCTTTATCAAGCCCTTTTCCTGTAGCCAGTGTCCTGCGAGTCTCCCGAATTCCGTCTGCAGACATATGTAACCCTCGCTCCGTCATCGCCCCCTTATGAAGTATCCTAAACTATTTGCGCCCCGCTTTTGCGCAGGGGTTGGGTACGTCGCCAGGGTAATTTCTTGTGCAAGGGATGGCGGGGTGGGGAGCCGCATTGACCCTGGTTGGCTACTAGTCGCATGGGGGAGGGGGTGTATATCAATAGGAAACAGTGATCAAACGACCCTACTAGTTAGCAGGCCGTTTAGCTCACTCCCACCCGCCCTCCCAACACACAAGTAGCACCCGAGTGTCAGCAGATCGCCCAAGAATGTCACCTATGCCATGCGCGCCACGGGTTCCAGGCGTGAACCATGCACCCTGGAGGCTCAAACGTGCAAGGTGCGGCACACGCTTCACGTGCGCCAGTTGTGCCACGTGCTCCAGCCGCGTTAGGTGCACCAGCTACGAGGAACCAGCAAAGACCCCAGGTGCCTGGGGCCCTGGCCCAAAGAAGTTGAGGATCTTGAGTACGCTTGAAGCGAAGTTCCGAGCATCCTGTGAGAAAGGCTGCTGCTCCACTGAGCGTAAAACGCCGATACCAATGGACATATTGTGACAGATTGAGGAGCCTTGGAACAGATGAGAGCTCAGAGAAAAGAGGGTCCTGCGCATGCTCCAGATTTGGAGCTGAAGAGTATTTTGCAAGGTTGTCCCATATGTTTCGACAGGGATGGTCGGCCTGCGCGCAGTAAGTAATACGCGGCACCCCCTGCCGTCCTTGTCCAAAGCCAACGCAAAGTGGTCGCGGGGTGCCCGCGCATGCTCCAATTTGGAGGCAAAGTGCATGCTGTATGGTCTTGGTATGAGGGATGTTGGGGGGTGTTCTCATTGGTCCAGGTCGGCTGCCGGTCGCCTGGGGGAGGGGGTGTTTATCAATAGGAACAGTGCAGAGAGAAGGCACAAGTTCGTTGAACCACCTACGCGCAGGGGGCTGGCGCGATGACTTGTCCGGGGGGGCTGTGGGCCCAGTGGTGGACCCAGCCGGGATGGGTGAGGTGGCCAGTTGGCGCCCCCCGATCATCGTGCTGGTCTGCATGGCTCTGGTCTTCGAGGCTCGTGGGCGAAACACCCAACTCCGTGTCCGCGGCCTCGCGGGCCCCGCCCCTGGGCCGCGACCCCGCGGATGCCGGGCGCCTCTTCGCGAATGCCCCCCGCGCGGAACGTGTCCGTGCGGCCGTCGCGGGATCGCGGGATCGCGGCCCGGAATCCAGGCCGCGCCCGCCCCTGGGCCGCGACCCCGCGGTTGCGGGGCGCGTCTCCGCGAACGCCCCCCCGCGCGGAACGTGTCCGTGCGGCCGTCGCGGGATCGCGGGATCGCGGCCCGGAAGCCAGGCCGCGAGGGCGCGGGTGCGGCTGTGGCCGCCGCTCGTGGGAGCAGGGCCGGGCCTGATCGCTGTTTTGCTGGGCGCTTCGGGTGTGCTCGGTTCTTCGCTCTGGCGGGGGAGAGGTGCGGGAGCACGGCCGGAGCAGAGCGAGACACGAGGCGAGAGCGAAACGAGACACAGCGCTTGGGTCCAGCCCTGCGCGGGAGGCTCGGGCCGAACGAAAGGGGGGGTAGGGAAAGGGAGGGTTACAGAATCTGCTGCATGCAGCTGGTTTCGGCCCCGCCGCCGGGCCCATTCCTCGATGCATGGGCGCCTCCCGGCGCCGGGAGGCGCTGGGAGAATCAGCTACGCGAGCTGATTCTCTACCCTACACTTTGCTCTCCCACCCTTTCGTTCCCGAGCGAAGTGAACCCGACCCTCCCTCCCGGAAATCGTGGGGGGTAGGAGCAGGGTTCGCATGTGGTCCCCTACGGGAGGCCGCCTCCTCCTCCTCGTCCTCCTCCTTCTCCTCCTCCTCCTCCTCCTTCTCCTCCTCCTCCTCCTCCTCCGCGTCCTCCTCGTCCCATGCCTCTCTAGCCCCCTTCCCCTGCGTGGGAGCCTCCTCCTCCTCCTCCTTCTCCTCCTCCTCCTCCTCCTCCTCGTCCCATGCCCCTCGAGCATGCCCACTTCTCCCGAGAGCACGTGAGCACGAGCTGCCCCTCCCCCTCTGCGTGGGAGGCCGTGTACCACTTCTTCCGGGAGCACGTGGGCACGAGCTACCACTACGGGCAGCTGCAGACGGGGGCGGGGCGCCGGCACTTCAACAGCGTCCACACGTCGACGGGCACGGGCCACGCCCCGGGCGGCGCCCGCCACCTCCACGACGAGTACACCGTGCCCCTCTGGAAGCGATGGGCCCGTTCTCCATTTACCACCACCATAAGCTGGAGAGGGGAAGGAGGTAGAGGAGGAGGAGGAGGGGGAGGAGGAGGAGGAAGAGGAGGAGGAGGAGGAGGAGGAGGAGGAGGAGGAGGAGGAGGAGGAGGAGGAGGGCCCCCTCTCCCTCCTACTTGTGGTGGTGGCAGTGGAAAAGAGGCCCACCAGGAAGCACTGGTTCTCGCGCCTGTGCGCGGAGATCATGGTGCTGGGCTACATCGCCCCGCCAGACCATGTCCACGTCCACCGCTTCGGAATCGTCCCCTGAGCTCGCGAGGAGCGGTGGACGTGGATAATCCACCCGCCCGCGCTGGCGGGCAGATATCCACATCCGCCGCTCCCCGAGTCCTCGGGGCACGGCCCAGCAGCGGTGGATATGGTCATATTCTGGCGGCGCATACATCGCCTTCCTCATATTCATCACGCGGCAGGCCGGGCTGTTCGATGGTCTTGCGACCGCATTCCCGGCGCACTCTTCGCGCATCCATCTTCCTCCAACCTCCGCCGATTGGCTGCACATGGTGGAGCTGGTGCACATGAAGCTTTTCCTTGGCATGCTCATCTATTTCACGCTTGTCTCCCGCATTGTGAGCGGCAGCGTGAAGACCATCCGCGCTTGGGAAGAGATGCGCATCCTCCGCGTTGCAGGTGCTGCCAGATCCGCGATGACGGTGAGTCACGACAGCAGGCTAATGGGTTTTGAGAACACTGCGGTCAAGAGGTATGGCCGGTGGCGTTCGTACTTCATCACGGACGTGCTGGGGTGGAGGCAGAAGCGCCCGTCCTTCCACAGGGAGGTGCTGGAGACGTTGGCACTCGACTCACTGCCGAAAGTGCCAGTGAGCAAGCTGCACAAGGCTTTGGACGAGAACTTCGCTTTCAGCGCCTACCTCGCGTACTCAGTGTGCTCGTGCACCACGGACACGGTTGAGATCCACTCGCTCACGTGGATTGCGGTCATATTCGTCCTGCTGGTGTTCGCCCTCCTGCACCGGTTCGCGAGTGTCATACTCCTAGACGTGGTGCCCATATTTATCGTGGCCGCCTTCATGATCTTGGGGGTGCCTTACGTTGCATCTTCGGGGGGCCTCGTCTGTCTCCCCCCAGCTGGCGTTCTCTTCTCGTGCGGGGCGCGGGCTCGATACGGACTCGGCACGGATTTGGCGTGGACTCGGCGTGGATTCGACGTGGGTTCGACGAGCCCGACATGAGCGACGCAGAGAAAAAGTTCAACTACGTCAACTACGTGGACATTCGCGCGTAAGCTGCCCGCGTAAGGTTGCGCTTAAGCGCCCTCGTTCCCAATGTAGCGTGCCGCGCTGGCTGCCCGCGTGAGCCGCCGCTCAGCGTCGCTGTGCCATCCCGCGTGAGACCCGTGCATTTTTTGCCGCTCACATGGGTTCGACACGGATTCGACGCGGATATGGGCGCGACGGGAAAGAGGAGGGTTAAGTCGGGCACTTCCCTCTACAGGAGGAACATGCAAGAATAGTCAAAAATGATACGGGGACGATTTTTCAAGTATTCTTGACCATTTTGGGGGCATGTTTGATTATTCGCTCGTCCAAACTCCCCCTGTAGGAGGACATGCCCGACCTGAGACAAGGGTCACCCCGAAGATGCAGCACGAGGTGCTCTGGCGCCTGGTGCGCTCGTTCACCGCGAGGGTTGACGTCTCGGGGCAGAACGCGCTGAGCCTCTCCCGCAGGGACCTGGCCGCGGAGCTCCGGCGTCGGGCGAAAGTCAGAACCACGAGCGGCGGTTGTCCGCCATGGGTGCCTGGGCCGCCGCGGCCTCGCCCGCGCCTGCCCAGACGCGCCCCGGACGGGGCGCACGGCATGCGCGCCCTCTGTCGGCAGCTGCGCTGACGCCGTTTTGGCCCACGCACTCAACCACAAAAAAAGCGCCCCGAACAGGTCGGTGTGCAGATGCACGCCCCTCAGGGGGGGGGGAGGCACGATTTTGATCCCCGCTCGGTGTGTTCCTCGCCCTCCCCTCCATCGTCGTCGGAGAATCTGCGTCGTTCGGCGGCGAGCCCTGGGGGGAGGTGAGGGGGGGCAGGCCTCCTCAGAAGGCGGCGGGGCTGCTGGGAAGCCCCCGCGCCTTCTGCGAAGCTTTCAGAGCCTTCTCCGAAGGCACAGGCGGCTTCTCTCTGAAGGTCGGGGGCTTCTGAGAAGCCCGGCCGCCTTCCGAGAGAGGCCTGCCTCCCTTCTCGCTCCCCCCCCTCTGGGCGGGCCGCCGATCCTTCCAGTCGGGAGCCTTGAGACGGGGGTCAACGCAAGCGGGGGCCACCCAGAGCGTCGGATCCTGCATCCTGCCAAGCCCGGGTTGCACTGACCCGGGTCAGCGTGCAGGATCCAGCAGAGGCCTGCAGGATCTTGCAGGATCCTTCTTGCAAAGCTCGACCGGCCCGGGCTTGCATTGACCTGTGTCAGTGCGTCCCCGATTCTGAGAGAATCTGCGTCATAAATATCACGGGCGCCGTTCACTGCGTGTTTGCCCCCACGCGTGTAGCTTGTATTCCTATCGAGCGGCAGGCTGGGACAGTTGGAGGCTCTGTCCTGTGGTCCGCTCCCCCATCTTCTCTTTCAAAAATGAATAAAGGGGGGGGGGGGGGGATCGGGAAAGGGGGGGGGATACGAGATCAGCTGCTTGCGGCTCTAAGAAGCCTTCCCCCCTCCCCCATACCCTAGTGCGCGCCGCCAAAACGGCACGAAACATGATTTCTCGGAGGTCCGCGCGGATTTCTTAGATTGGCGCGGGGCCCCCCTGGCGACGCCTCCGGCGCCGCCTCTGGCGCGCTCCGCGCGCAAGGGAGGGGGGTCCAGCGCCGATCCAAGAAATCCGCGCGGACCTTCAAGAAATTATATGTATGCCGTTTTTTGTTCGTCCTCCTCGTCCACCTCCTCCCTCCTCCCCCTGCTCGTCCTGTTAATGTTGGCCGTTGCCAGGCAGAGGCCAGCGCGTTGCATTTTTTAATGGGAGAGAACGCACTCCACTGGACAGAGTACCACGAGCAGCTTTTACGGCGCGTCAGCGCTGCCGTTCGGCGAAGCGCGCCTGCTGAGCGGAACCTCTGGGCTCGAGCGAGCCGAAGCTACGCGAGCCGAGCTGCATCTCTGACCCCCCTCTCCTCCTCCTCCACCTGCTCCTCCTCCTCCTCCTCCTCCTCCTCCTCCTCCTCGTCCTCCTCCTTTTCCTCCCCCTCCTCCCCCTCCTCCTCCTCCTCCTCCTCCTCCTCCTCCTCCTCCTCCTCTTCCTCATCCTTCTCCTCATTCTCCCCCTCCTCCTTCTCCTCCTCCTCCTCCTCCTCCTCCTCCTCCTCCTCATCCCCCTGTGCGTCCGCCCCAGGAGCACGGCGGGGTGCCGAAGCTCGCGAGCTTCGCGGAGAGGGACACGGAGCACAGCTACGGCCTGGAAGCGGTGGACGACGAGGTGCAGGTGGTGCACGAGGCGCCCGCGGTGCCGACCCCGTCCGACCAGGAGCGGGGTCCACTTCGATCCGGTCGATCCGATCCGAAATCGATTTTGGCCGGCCCGCTCCGATCCGATTCCGATGCGCCGACGATGCGGTGCGGACCGATGTTTCCGTGAGCGTTGTTGTGCATCATGGCGCAGCCGATCCGATTCGATTGTGACGCCGTGCCGATGCTGCCAGGAGTGCTGGCAGGAGGATCCGGCGTCAGCCTCGCGCGCTCACACCGAGGCTCGGGGAAGGAGAAGTTGCGTCAGCATCAGCTTTCGCCGTGCGGCGAAATCTGTACAATGTCCACTGCTCCCTGGCCAGGCCAATCCTGAACCCAGGAGCTGTGTATACGCCACACCCTCCTGGCTTGGCCAGGAGGGCGTATACACAGCTCCTGGGTTCAGTATGGGCCTGGCCAGGGAGTAGTGATGATGCTGTTGATGCTGTTGATGATGCTCATGATGATGATCATGATGATGATGTTGATGATGATGATGATGATGATGATGATGATGATGATGATGATGATGACGATGATGAGATGATGATGATGATGATGCTGATGCTGATGCTGATGCTGATGCTGATGCTGATGCTGATGCTGATGCTGATGCTGCTGATGCTGATGCTGATGCTGATGCTGATGATGGTGACGGTGATGGTGATGGTGATGGTGCTGGTGATGGTGATGGTGGTGATGGTGGCGATGATGATGATGATGAGGAGGAGGATGAGGATGAGGATGATGATGAGGATGATGTTGATGAGGACGAGGACGAGGATGAGGATGAGGATGCTGATGCTTCTGCTTCTGTTTCTGCTGCTGCTGCTGATGCTGATGCTGATGATGATGACGATGACGATGACGACGATGATAATGACGATGATGCTGATGATGATTATGATGATGCTGATGACGATGATGATGTTTATGACGATGACGATGATGATGATGATGATGATGATGATGATGATGATGATGATGATGATGATGATGATGATGATGATGCTGATGAGGATGATGATGATGCTGATTATGCTGATGATGCTGATGCTGATGCTGCTGATGTTGATGCTTATGGCGATGATGACGATGATGATGCTTATGCTGGTGCTGATGATGATGATGCTGGTGCTGCTGCTGATGATGCTGATGATGATGCTGCTGATGATGATGATAATGTATGATGATAATGATGATGGTGATGATGATGATGCTGCTGTTGCTGCTGCTGCTGCTGCTGATGATGATGATGATGATGCTGCTTATGATGAGGAAGAGGAGGAGGAGGAGGAGGAGGGAGGAGGAGGAGGAGGAGGCGGATGAAGAGGAGGAGAGGAGGAGGAGGAGAGGAGGAGGAGGAGGAGGAGGAGGAGGAGGAGGAGGGCGGAGGAGGAGGAGGAGGAGGAGGAGGAGGAGGAGGAGGACGAGGAGGACGAGAGGGAGGAGCAGGAGGAGGAGGAGAAGGAGGAGGAAAAGCAGTGGACATGTATAGATTTCGCCGCCCAGTTTCGGTGGTCCGCGCGGCTTTCTCGGGTCGGCGTCGCGGGCAGCGCCTCCAGCGCCGCCTCCGGCCCCGGTGTCGATCCGAGCACTCCGCGGGGGCAGCCATGCGCGCGTGCGCTGCGTCGTTTTTTGCCTGTCTTCCCTCTGGAGGTGCTGGGCCCAGACGAGGAGCAGCATGGTCCAACCGATCCCCCCTCCCCACCGAGTCACGATTTTTCTCGACCCAGGCGGCCAAGGTCAATCGGACCATTTTTGTCAGGGGGGGAAATCACACACTTTTTGATCCGCGGGTCGAGAGCGCACCTCTTCCGATCGAAGAAGGAAAATCACACACAGACGCAATGAATCGCCGATTCCCCAGAAAACTAGGAAAATGTGGGAAGTGGGGGGGGACGAAAACCCAGAAAATATAAAAGAATATGGGGATTCCTGGGATTTGTGTATTTGTTTGCGTGTCCCTGGGCCCCCTCATTTTTGGGCGCCGGGATTAACCATCCGACTCCCCTCCCCGTCCCTCCCTGGCCGACTCTGACTGGCCGACTGGCCGAATGGCCGACTGCGGAGTCGGAAAGTTCTCTTCGGTGCCTCAAGCATTGTCCTGCTCGCCCAGGTGGGATTGGGTTGGGCCTCGCAGAGCCCGGAGGGAGCAGCAGTGCGCATCCCCACCCGGGGCCCGGGGCCGAGTCGGCCAGTGGGGTCAGGGCCATGCCAGTGGGGATGGTGGGGGAACCAAAAGATACCTATACCGCTTCTCCCCGGACCCCTCCCGGGGTGCGCTCTGACCAGAACTTCGATGCGAATTCAGCCGTGGTGACGAGTGTCTCCCAGGAGGCCCTCCGAAAGCGAAAGCCGGGCAAGGGCCGTGGTATCAACACACTGTCTTCTTCTGATGTGGGGGGTCGAGTGGAGCGATGCTCTGAGGAGGAGACGGAGGGCTTTCACGAGAAGTTCTCCACCGAGATGCACACTCTGCGCCTCCTGCAGGTGATCCTCTTCGTGTGCTCCTACGCCTGCGCGCGGACGCTGGGCGACCCCGCAGACTGGAAGTCGCGTCCAGACCAGGTCGTGCTCGTCTGTTGCGTCTTCGGCATCATCTCGGGCAGTGCCAGGGGGGTCACCTCGAGGTGGAGGGACGTCGAGTACTTGTAGGGTGTCTCGCCTCGGCATGCTTCCCAGCAGCAGCGCCTCGTCGAGGCCTTCCTGGGGGTGCACAGATCGTCCCGAACGGCCGCCCGAGGCCAGAATTGCGACCCGAAAACCAGACCCTCTCGGGCTTGAGAAAATGACCGACGGGGTTCACCACCTGGCGGGGGGTCGCCACCGCCTCCTGGAAGTCGAGGGTCGAGCAGGAGGAGGAGGAGGAGGAGGAGGAGGAGGAGGAGGAGGAAGGGAGGAGGAGGAGGAAAAGGAGGACGGACCAGGACGGACGAGGACGAGGGCGAGGACGAGGACGAGAGGAGCAGGAGCAGCAGGAGGAGGAGGAGGAGGAGGGGAGGAGGGAGGATCGATGATCGGGGGGGTCTTGTGAACTGTTGGGTCTTTGCTTGGGAGTCCCGGGGGGTTCTATGGGGGGCCCGGAGGAGTTGGCGACCCCCTCGGCCCAGACCCCAGACTTTCTGAGCTGGACACACAACGGTCCTCCTCCTCCTCCTCCTCCTCCTCCACCTCCTCCTCCTCCTCCTCCTCCTCCCTCCCCTCCCCCCTCCCCCTCCCCCTCCCCCTCCTCCTCCTCCTCCTCCTCCTCCTCCTCCTCCTCCTCCTCCTCCTCCTCCTCCTCCTCCTCTCCTCCTCCTCCTCCTCCCCTCCCCTCCTCTGCCTCCTCCTCCGCCTCCTCCTCCTCCTCCTCCTCCTCCTCCCCCTCCACGTCTTCCTTCTCCTCCTCCTCCTCCTCCTCCTCCTCCTCTTCCTCCTCCGTTGTCGTTCTGACGTTCCCGGGTCCGAGGCGGCCCCGAAGGGCCAAACATCCTGAACAAAATGTCGGTCGTTCTCGTGACCCGAGAGGTCACCGCCGCCTCCTGCAAATCGAGGGCATCCAAGATCTAAGATGGCCCCATGATGGCCTTCACGTCCCAAACCTCCTCGCTGATCGAGGTTTCTTTGAAAGTTTTCGGGCGTGTTTGGGAGTCCTGTGGGGGCTCTGGGGAGCCTGGAGGCGTTGTCGACCCCCTTAGCCAGGAGCCCCGACGTCATGATTTGTTCACAAGTGGACCCCCAAAAAGTTTGGACCCCTTCTCCGGGACCAGCTTCTCATCTTGAGTCGGTTTCTGACGTTCCCGGGGCCCAGTCACGGCCCGTAGTGGCCGAACACAACAACAAGTTTCCCAACAGTTAAACTTGCACATTATGGTTATTAGTATTATCGTCATCATCACATCTTTCGCATTCTACGTGCACACCGAGAACGCCTCCAAGCCGTCACCCGATGGCCACGTCATGATATTCATCCTGACCTTGTTTTGGCGATTGAAAAAAATTAGCGTCCCAGTCATCCCAGTCAACGCTCAGGACATTGAGAAGATCGTTCGCGCGGCCCAATATAGAGCTGCCTGGCGCTCTGGCACATTCTAGAGGTTGCTGGACTGTTACAGTGAAATCTTGGAGGGCACCGACTGGACATTGACCCATAACATGATCGAGCACGTGAAGAAGAGCCTCTTCTTCCAGCTCTAAAACAACTGGAATACCCTTTTCATCGATTCCTGGCCGACCAGATGACCCCCAGAATAAGAGCTTCAACAGCCAGATTGTACGACCCCTGTCCGTTCACCAACGTAAAGTTGCTCCTTATCTATTGGCTCGGATGAGGTACTGGCAAAGGGGGAATCGCTACAATATCAACAATGTCACGATCTGTCTAATTCGGTTGCAATTATTGGCACCACGTGTATCAGCATTCGTCATGTGCAATCTCATCAAGACTCTCTGCAACGGTTGGGTTTGTTTCGAGGTACCGCCAGCCAACTGCTGCCTCTCGATCTGGTTGTACAGCGACCTCATGTGATCGTATTGCCCTTTACTTATCCTGCTATCCTGCTCTTTGCTGCCGCACCCATTTGCTGCTTCTACTTCCCCGCTCATTTGTGCATGGTGACAGCCGCGAGCGTTTCCTCCCGCATCTTTTCGAATGGTCCTGCCCTGAGCAACTGGACTCCTATTGCCATCGCCTTTGCCATGCTCGCTGTTTGTTATCACCGCGTGCGTTCTTGTGAGTCTCAGCTGTCTGAAGTGTTCCACCGCTCTGTTCATGTCCGTGCCCGTCAGATCTTGCGGAGGCGCCACCAGCTTGCCCCTCTGTTCTCTACTGTCTCTCTGCAGGCCTGCCGTTCTCACTGCTTGGCTGATCGTGCCTTGCCCACGGGACAGTCGGTTGCCCTTTTCTCGCCTCTTGTCCGCTTGCCCTCTTGTCGTTTCCTTTCTTCTCGCCTCGCGTCCGCCTGCCCTCGTCTCGTCCCTTGCCGCCAATGGGAGTCCTGATCATCATCATTTTTTATTATCACTATCACCAGCATCATCATCATAAGCATCCGCATCATCAACATCATCAGCATCACCATCACCATAATCAGCAGCATCGCCATCGGAATCATCACACGAATCAGCAGCATCATGAGCAGCAGCATCGGCATCATCATTATCATCGCCATCAGCATCAGCATCGTCATCATCAGCATCGCCATCATCGTCAACACCACCATCATCGTCACCGCCGTCCTCATCGCCGCCCTCCCCCCCCGCCTCATCACCTTCAGAATCGACAAAGTCATGAGCGCCAGCCTCTTTAAAGGCGCTTGGAAAAAGGGGGCCCCACCCACCTCTCACCCCTTCATCCCCTTCATTGGGCGGGGCGGGCAGGGGGGGGGGGCGGGCGAGTCCTCGGCCGGCAGCCGCCGGCGGGGCTGCGCTGCCTCGGCCTGGGCAGCAGCCCCGAGACCCTTGACGCGCAACCCACGCGCGGCTGCAGCGCGCAGCATCTCCCTGCCACCCTCGCCCAGCGTCCCGAGATTCTGAACGCGGGCCTGTCTCTGCCAGATGGGACTGGCAGCGCGCGGGGCACGCGCGCTTGCCAGCGCCTGCGGGGCGCGGTGCCTCCGCCGCCCCGCTGTCCAACCCCTTATGCGATTTGCGCCCGCAGGGGGGCTTAACGGCAAGAGTTCCCTTCGTCCGGCGGGAGAGGGCCACTGCGCCGCGGCGCGCGCGCGGGGCGGGGCGGGGGAGGGGGCAAGGCGTCGCCAACGTGAGGGCGGCTTCCCAAGAGCACCTTCCGCGAGCCACGCAGGAGAGCACGGCGGGCCTCGTGGGCGGGGGTGGCGGCGGGGGGGGCAGAGCTGAGGAGCGCGGCGAGGCCGTTTTCAACTTCGGGCTTCAAGGGCTTCCTGAACGGCTAAAGCCGAACTGTCTTGGAGCAGGGAGGAGGGCGACCCGAGAACTCCCGAGGAGGAAGGGGGGGGGCGTCAATCCCTTCGCGTTCGGCCGTCAGGACTTTCTGATTCGTGGCCCACTGTGCTAATTCCAGGACAATGTCTCCAAGAGCCTCCAAGATATCCGGACAATCAGCTGTGTCAGGGCGCAGCATTGCCCCTTGGTTGGCGTGAACATCTGCAGCGCGGTTGCCACCCCAACCACGTTCTGAAATCCGCCCAGCCTTAGCAGCAGAAAAGGGAAGGCGCGCCTGGACTTCGATGGCTTCCCAGATGCTGCGCCAGGAGTGGCGCGCTGACGTCGAGAAAATCGAGTCTTTGACAGCGCCCACTGCGTCTTGGCAGTCAATGTGGAAAGCGCGCGGGCCGCGCGCAAGACCGCGCGCCGCTTCGTCGCCTGGAGCAAAGCAGCACCCCCCCGCCCCGGGTTGCCTGGAAGGGCCCAGGCTCCCAGGATACGGGCCCGCGCGCTGCTCCAGCGAGGCCCCCATCACCGCGGGGCATGACAAGAGTTCACCCCGCTCTGCGCGCGATGGGGCAGCGAGGGTAACGACCTGAGCCATCATCAACAATGTTGACTGTGAGGTATCCTTCAGGCGGCTGTTTAATCCATCTTAAGCTGCATCCATGGTCCCACAAAGGCCTGTGCGCGACCTCAATAGGCATAGGGAAAAAAAAGACCCGTCGCCGCCTTCTCGAGATTTTGCCCCGCAAGTTGGAGCGCAGGCGCGCGGCGGAGCAGTCGTGGGCGACAGTGTCCAGTGGGGACAGAGACTCGGCACTAAAGCGCGCTTCCCTTGCGATCGCAAGCCTGGCAGACCAAAGGCTTCCAGAACATGGGGCGGGTCCAGCTGGCCTGCCCCTCGGAGTCGAGTCGGAAATATTGCGGGCAGCCTTCGAAAGCTAACCAGCCAACTTGCCTAGGGGCCATCTTGGTTGCACCAATGCCCCCCCCCCCCCCCTGCGTCAATAACATGGCGGTCGGCAGATGGCGCGCGCCACCCAAACTGTCGGACAGACGACGGGTCCATTTGGACAGGACTAGCGGCAGAGGCTCTAAAGTGGCGGGCTCTTCGAGTTCGTCGACCGCCGGAGCCGACAGGTGCTGCAGGACATCAAGGCCCGGCCTACCTAGGAAGGCGGCGCGAGCCCGAAAACCTTTGATTTGGCAATGGTAGAGGTTCAAGGGGTCCATGATGCGCCAGGTCCTGGCCGGCCGTGGCCAGCTCGAGGCCCACCGCAGCTCTCCTTTTTTACCCCTGTGGATGCTATATTGGTGGATTTGCCTACCACTAAGTCCACGCATCGTTGTCCCCCGCAGTGGTGTTGCTGCGTTTATGGTCCTGCCCGCTGGAGGTTGGCTATCATTGCCCCAGCCTGCTTGAGCTTGAGAAGCTTGAAAGACCTTCGGGAACATGTCTTAAGTCCCTTACCCGCCGTGGTCATCACTAGCCTCGCCCACGTGTGAGCCCGTGCCATGTGAACGCTTGCTTTTCTTCCGCTCGAGTCTATAGTTGCTCCGCATGTTCTCCCAGGCATTCGCGAGCTCGCCAGACGAGGCTACGACGTCGGTCTTGCAGTTCGACAAGACCAGGTCAAGGTTGCGGCAGCCTGTGCCACTTAACTGCTCTGCAACAAACTTGGGCGCCCTGAGGCATTGGGCGCGCGCCTCATCGACCACGTTGCGCACGATGGCAGTTGTGACCTTATTTGCTATATCGTTCAGAAGCC